CACTCATTCTTACTCAAACAAGTGTGCGAATTCAAAACAAATGTGGCTGCACCTCTGAACTGACATATTTTTCCAGTTCTTTTTTTCTCTTCATTCGAATAGTGACAGTTTATAGTATCATATAAAAAGTCTACCAGAGAAAGAGGCCCCAATGAGAAGCCATTCTTTAACAGCTTTCTGGGGATAGTGGTGGAGTTGGAGAGATTAGTGGTTCACAAAACTACAAACTCCCCTCTATTCACAGCTTCTACTTCTCTTTGAATCCTCTTCCTCCTCATAGCTATCTGCTTTTATAGGCTGGAGGGAGACAGTAGGCTCATGGCTGGCGGCTCTGGCAATTTGGATGTTTCTTAATAAACCTCAAGGAGGTATCTGGACCCCACATGTTTTCTGGAGTCCTTAGGATGGGGGGTAATCTTTACCTTATATTCCTAACTTTAGTCCCTGCTTTGATCTATCACAATGGTAAACATCTTATTTAGGCCCCTATATGGCTTGGAATACACCAGTGTTAAAGGAGACGGAGATGTTGTGCTAAAGAACACATGATAAAAGTCACAGTACTTGGTGGCAGATTGGATACCGAGGGTGAAGGAGAAGGAAGAGAAAGGGATGGCTCAGATTTCTGTGTCATACTGCTCAGTGGATGGCAGTGCTTGGAAGAATGCTGGATGAGGACCACAACTCCCCTTTATCCCATCTTGCCCCATGGGAAGAGGAGGAAGATGATAAAATATGTGTTCATCTTGAGGGGATATCAGACAGGCCTAGAGCATAGAGGAGTTGTCCAGGCTGGAGAGATCCACCTGTGAGTTCCCTTTTATAGGTGATAATGGAAGCCATAAGTGCAGATGGTATTGCCAGAGAGACTTGATGGTGAGAAGGGTATATCGTACAGCACCCATACAGATCTGCACATATATGCACACATGCACAGAGGCAGTATGTGAACAGACATCTACAGAAATTCACAGGAATAGAGTTTTTAGTGAAGTTTGTAAATTCTGCCTTGTTGTCATAGCCACATATGCTGTCACCCACTATATATCTCTGTCTCTGTAGTTAAATCAGATGTGATGTGATTTGTCCCATAAACTCAAGTCACATGTCAATGGGCCCACTTGGATTCTAAGAACCAAAAGGTGCATAACTTCACTCAACAGCAAACAACTTCAACTAGATTACTTGCTTTTGAACAAAGTGTTGAGAGAATTGAGAGCACAGAAGGCAGGTGGGGAATAAAACTAATCACCTTAGAACATAGGATGGTTGGATCATAAATCTAGATTTTCCAGGATTTTAAGCTGCATACATTGGTGGGGAGGCATTCATAGCCCTTATTGTATCTGGCTTGAGGTGCGGATGGGAACATTAAGGCATGAAGGGCACTCCAGGAGGGCAAATTCTTGTGGCAGAGGAGGTGGGAGGGGAGGCAGAGGCTGTCGCTGATGAGATTTTGAACAAGGTAGGGGATCTTGTTGGCAAACTCAGAGCAGAAGATTGAGGGGTTTTGAAAGAAGTAGTCCAGAATGGAGCATGCTCTGAGAACTGAATAGTTTTGCCTTTACTAGTACACCTTTTCCTCCTAAAAAAATTAATCTTTGTCAGAGTGGAACCTCCGAAGCCCCTGTTAAAGGTATAAGAAAAGGTGTGATGATTAATGATGAAGATGGCACAGCACAAAGTTGATGTTGGTTGTTTGTATATTCTCTCGTTCTAAGTCACAAGTTCCCCCATCTTGGCACTAATGGCTGGAGGATGAGTCTCTCCACAGAGGGCTGTGCTTGTCGCATCGTATCCCACCAGTGGAACCACCTATGAGTGTGCAGGGAGACAGAGCAGGCTCTGCAGAGCAGCCACACCTGCGACCTAATGGGGGGCCTGAAGTTCCTCATGTGCTGAAGTGTAGGTCCAAAGTGCTTTAGGCACAGCCACATCCTGGGAACTTTATCTGCCAACCTGGACTGTCCAGGGAATGTGTCCTGACACATTATTAATAATCCTCTCTTACTTTGTGAAAAGAACCATCTTGTTTAATTTAATTAGTGTTGTGCCTGAGTCATTTCAGGCTGTCATAAAGCAGTGCGTTTTGCATAGGAGCCCACTTGCGCTTGAATTTGCAAGTTTAAATGGCCTTTATGACTCTTAGGACATGGCTGACTTCATTTTACAGATCTATCTTCCCTTTCCCTGAGTATTAAAAAGCACTCAAGACTAGAAAATAGTTATTTAACCCAGTGGTTTTCACACTTTCATGAAAAGAACTTCCTGAAAGAGTTGAATTGTTTTGCCAAAAATATCCAAATGAATGGGAGAGATTTGTTTTTTAGCCATCAGCCTTTTTTCTTTTTCTATGTTTGCAGTATTTAACATTGTTATGAAGTGATTTGATGTTGGCATGCAATAGTCTCATTAACAGTGGTTTACCCTCTTAACATTTATGGCTTCGTTTTCCTGACCTCCACTTTATTCAGTCATAGGGAGAGCTCCACTCTTAGAAAGATTCCTTAAAGATCCATCCAGCAGGGAGATGAGAGCAGGATCGTGCCAGTCTCAGTGGGGCTACGCTCCTAGGTATGACAGTTGTCCAGGTAGCTTTGGTTGCCCAGGTGACCAAAGAAAGGTGGGAATTGTCAACAATCACTCATAACTGCCTTTGCTGTTCAGATCATGGAACCTCAGATAGAAATGGAATTTTTCTCGCTCTATGCCTTCAACATGTTGTGGGATCACAAAACATTAAAAATTAGTCTAGAGGATACATTTTCCCAAATCACACAAAATAAATGGGGACAAGTCATTGTTTCCAAGTGGTTTAGAATGAGCTTCCAAACAGAAAGCACTGTCAAAAAGTATTTTCTCATTCATTCCAACCTCCAAAATAATAAAAACGGTGGTAATAATAATTGTAATAGGTACCAATTAGCGAGCACTTAATGTATGCCAAGCTCTGCGCTAGATGCTTGAACTGTATTATCTCTACTCTTTAATACAACCTTAGAAAATAGATAGCTTTACTATTGCTATTAACATTATCATTATTCCATTTCATAAAGAAAAAATCAGAGACTCAAGGGAGTTGGGTAATTTTTCTTAAAGTCACACATTGGTTGTGTATAGAACTGGGATTAGGAAACAATTCTGTGTGAGCTGGGAGTCTGTATTCCTTCTTTGGTGCTATGCTGCATAAGACCAATTTACCCACAGAATCCAGGCAGATGCCCACTTAAGAATTGCCAGCTGTGTGCTCAAATCAATAATATAGAGTTGATTTTACAGGTCAGCTTGCACGTGTAGTCAACAAATATTTACTGAGTATCTCCTATGAGCCAGACATTCATCTAAGTTCTGGAACACAGCAATGAACAAAACAGACAAAAGTTACTGTCTTTGTACTTGTATTCTGTACTGTTCTTGTATTCCAGTGATCATTAGATGATAATAAATGCATTAATAAATAAGAAAAATGATATTTCAAATAGTAATAAGTACTATGGTAAAAAATACATAAGGAATGTTCTTGTGGGAGGTGCAATTTTAAATATGGTGTTTATAGAAGGTCTTCCTGGGACAGTAATCTTTGAGCAAAGATGGGAAGAAAGACTAAGCCATGGAGTGTCAGCACACTCCCTTACTCCCCACTGGTGATATTAATGTAAAAGGAAATTGTCCCTCAGAAAAAGAGAAAATGGTTAATTCCTGGAATACAGGTGATAGAGATTGATATGAAATTAACAATAAGATACTTAGGAAGGAAGAAAACATAAACTTTTGGTTCTGATTACTAAGTTTGTTGCTAGGGTTACAGGTGGTGGTGAACCAGGGCCCAGACATACTTTTGCTGCACTTACAGGATGGCTGCCAAGTAAACTGACCATTAGGATAAGGAATGAAGAGCGCCATGACAGGGCATGATGGTGGGAGCCGACAACCAAGGATACTACAGCAGTCCTAGGGAGCCAGAGCAGTGGCTTCTTGTTCAAAGGTGACTGTTAACTAGGTAAAAGGAGGGAAAGGCATTTTAGGTTGTGTGAATGCCCTGTGCAAAGGCCAGTGGTGAAGAAAGAAGGCCTCATCTGGGGAATAAGAACACATTTGTGTGACTGAGATAGATGGGCAAGGAGAGGAAGAGAGAAGACTGTTTTATGTAAATCAGCATTGATCACACTGCATTCTGTGAAATACTGTGAAAATGTTTCATAGACAGAGGTAGACCTCTGCCAACAAATACCAGCGCCCCAGTGCATCAGCAGTAACTCAGCAGCTCTATTTTTCTTTTTTAACCTCTGTGTTAGTGGTTTTGGCATATTACATAATTTAAAAACACAACTTGCATGAATGTGAAGGTTCCTGCAAATTAGATCAATAGAATAAGACTGTTTTATGTAAATCAGCATTGATCACACTGCATTCTGTGAAATACTGTGAAAATGTTTCATAGACAGAGGTAGACCTCTGCCAACAAATACCAGCGCCCCAGTGCATCAGCAGTAACTCAGCAGCTCTATTTTTCTTTTTTAACCTCTGTGTTAGTGGTTTTGGCATATTACATAATTTAAAAACACAACTTGCATGAATGTGAAGGTTCCTGCAAATTAGATCAATAGAAGATTTGAGTGTGGTTAGTAATCTTTTGGTGATTTTTTTAAAAAAGAGGAAATAGAATATTTTATTAAGTCATAATCCCAAATATTAATTATTGATACCTGAGAACATTTTCTGTAGCAGACAGGGAAGTACTCATCATGCATACTGATGTGCTGTGAATAGATTATAGGTGTTTGGAGGTCCCTAGTTCTGTTCTCAGATGAGGCTGGTTGGGGCGTGAGGCAGCGCCAGCTGCAAACAGCCTGATCTGTTCACTATTATACTGTACAAATACTTTCATTTTCTCTGAATGTCAGGATGTGAAATGCATGGGAAGGAACATGCTAAGGTGCTCAATCATAATTTTACCATCAGTGTTTCCCTAAAACTGTCTGTGCAATTTTGATCTTCAGATACCAGTGTGCCTTTTACCAAAGGGTGACTGCACCCACTCAATAAAGGAAGCCAGACTGAACTTCTAAAATGTAAGTATTTTATCAAACCATGATATTTCATTATTAGTGATCCCTGTTTCATGGAAACTTGAGGGGAATTATCACATAATCAGATAATTTCATAATTATCACACAAGCAAGCATACACCATGTTCCAGGCACCTTGGCAATCTGTGGGGTTGGCTTATTAATCACAAGGTAACAAAAGACAGAGGACACAAAAATTAGCATAAAGAGCAGGTTTGAATTCCAGTGAGTTGGTAGCCTACCAGCCTCAGAAAGTTATACCTCAGTTTTCTCATCTGTGGAGTAGAGAATAATCATCATATGTACCATATTAGTTAGTTGCTAAAAATGAACAGCCTCATTCATCATTAAAATATATGATTGTTGTGAAGATTAAACATGTTATAATGTCTGTGCAGTTCAGAATTGTGCCCATCATGAGTTAAGTGCTACAAAAAATACTAGCCGTTATTTTTATTCTCAGGGATCCCCAAGGTAGGTGGAAGAAGGGCTGGGTCAATCAGATATTCCTTCCTGGGCAGTGACTCAAAGATACAGGGGATTGGTCTGAAATAATTCTCTGCATCTGAGATATCTGTGGTACAGGTCCCTGGGATGTCTCCAGCAGAATGTTCTTCTACATTAGTTCACTTCCAAATTTTGATACTCTGCCTAATATTATTTTATGAGCCTATACTCTGCCTAATATTATTTTATGAGCCCATTATAGCCTCTTCAGGCTCTGAGCAATCCAACACCCTTTAAATACATTCCTTTTCTGTTTAAGTTAGTCTAAGTTGTTTGTAAATAGAAATCCCTTCTAGCACATCCCCATTTGGAAGTTCAGGGAAAAGTTTCACAAGGATCATGAATCTTGATCAATTTCTTGAAGCTAATGTATTGCAGTTGCAGAGAAGGGATTCAACATATGGTATTCTCTCTCTAAGACTTCTCTAAGTCTTCTATTAAATGACCAATACATTTATTTATGGTTATATGGGTATTTTTTGATATTCAAAAGGAAGGGTTTTACCTTTTTTTAAAATAATATAAGGTAATTACCAGTTGAATACTGAGATATTTAATGACACTTTATTTTTTGGAATTCTCATAGTGAATACTCTGCCTAATATTATTATGATCTTGATATCTCTCATCATTCATCTGAAGTGCCACTATTGTGCAAAGCTCAATGTAAGACAAATAAATTTCAAACTACAACATAATGTAATGTATGCAGTTAGGATTAAGTGGTGGTATGTAAATTATAGTATTTTACAGTGTTGATTTAGTTAACTGAGAAAAATGAACTATGGCTTAAGTATTTAACAGTAAATTCTAGAGAAAATTATTTTGAAATGTGGATTGAACCCGAGGAAAACTCTTGAAACACCTTTCAGAGAATGATGACCTCTATGAAGTTGATTACCCTAGCTATGTGATATTTCCTTAATCTGAACTGCCCTAGTTATTGTGTCAATTCATGAACTTCAGAGAGTGCCATTAATTTCTTCAGGATTGTATGGTATCTTGCAAATGATTTGGTTTGTCTGTGCCAGTTCGTGCTGTGGTATATAGGCTTTAGTGATGAAGATGCTGGTGTCATGTGAGCAATTAGGAGCAAAAATGACAAAGCATACCATAAATCCAGGGAAAAGATAGGAATTAGAATTGAGCTATTAAGCCAGAGATGGATCTTGAGACAAGTCATGGCTGAATATGAAGTTAGGGATAGAGGAGGCCATGGTCACACATTCAGAAAAAATGGAAACTGTTAAAGATCAAAAGCAGGAACACTGAGAGACAGAGCAGTGGACAGAGCCAAAAGAAGAGGCAGTGAGGCATGTGTCTGGCATTCCCAATGCCTGGATGCTCAAGATGGTGATTCTCCAGCTTGGGTCACACATTAACTACTCTCTGATCATTCCTTTGGGAACTTGGTGGAGTTTCTAGGTCAATGGGCCTTTTTCACATACTTAAGGACCACTTAGTCAATCCTAAGACACCTGCGCTAATGGAAAAACTAATTCAGTACGTTATAGCACATGGCATCTAATGGAAACCTAGCCACATACCAGAGGAAAGGATTCTCTTTTGCACTAATCTCCAACTTTAATTTTTTTGTTTTGTTTGTTCCTTTGGAGGTTTTCTTCAGTCTTGTACCAAAGACAGTACCAAAGAGAAAGGTGATGGAAAATAGGGAAAGGTTGGTAAAAGGATACGAACTTTCAGTTAAAGATGTGTCAAATATATAACATGGTGACTATAGTTGATAATAGTATAACTGAAATTTGCTGAGAGAGTAGAACTTGAATGTTTTCAGCAAAAAAAAAAAAGGGTAAATTTGTGAAGTGATAGATGTGTTAATGAACTCAATGGAAGAATCCTTGTGTATGTATATCAACTCATTATATTGTCTTACAATTTTATTTGTTAATTATACCTCTATAAAATTTTTTAAAAAAGACATTAGTTCTGAAGGTTATTTACATATCATTCTCCTTTCTTTGTCTTGTTCTCACCAATCTGAGTCTGGAACGTATCTGACATCTGGTTTGAAAGATAAACTCTCTCCTTTGCTATCATCCTCCTCTATATATTTTGAATTGCTGTTTTTAATCTGTCAACAGGCTTCCACTTTGTTTCTACTTTTCAGAAATTTGTTAAAAGTGTATTATCTTTGTATGGACAGTTTTCCCTGGTGTAATGGGTTTATTTATGTCATTATCATTTCACTGAGAATATTGGGAGGGATGTAGATAAACACTGACTCTGTCTGCATTCTTGAGTCAGAAAACCAATAATGACTTTTTGACACCTCTCTGGAAAGATCTCACTAAATCCCCCTCAAATTAAAAGAAAATAAATTAGGTTCCTATATTTGTAATGTTTTAAAATATACATGAAGCTACTTACATTTTTAATATTATTCATCAAGGGCATAGATCAAGATCCTAAACTGATGTAATTGAGGCATTTGTTTTCTCTGTCAAGTGAATCCCTCAGCATTCTTGGAAGGTCAGAGTGAGAGACACTTGGATCCTATAGTAACTGAATTTTCCCATGGGCAAATGTAATGTTTTGTTTGCTTAATAGTTTTTGTCTATGGGGCAAAAGGATAATTGAGAAAACCTCAAAGAAAAATTTCAAGACCTCAAAGAAAATGTTTCACTGGAAATCCTTAAGATTTAGCTTCTTTTCCCCTGAAGGCTATTTTGAGATGTTGACATGTCTCATAAAGGAGTCTTGAGACCATGAATTGATAACAGAGGTGAGGAAGGAGCCAGGGAGCCAGGCTTCAGCAGCAAAAAGTTTAAAATAAGTATGAGATTTCTAAAAAATGGAAATTAGGGAAGGACTATTAGATGCAAAAATAGATGGAGACCTTAAGAATGTAGGTGTTATTGAGTAATCTAAATGGAGATTTCATGTTTCTAGTAATGTGGAGTTTGGGATCAAAAACTGGAAATGATTCTTTGAGAGTTGATTTGTTAATTTACTTATTCCATATATATTTATTGAGCAGCTGTTAAGCTGCTTACAATAAGAATTCTGGTGATACAGTGGGGAAGATACAGACTGTTTTGCTCAGAGAGACGATAGGATCTAATATGGATCCTGACAGTGAAAGAGACAAATAGTCTTTCCCAAGATCCACCTAAAGCCAAAGCAAATCTAGATAAGTCAACATGTTTTGCCATGACTAATATGTTCTTCCATGCCAACTGCAGTTAAGTAACTTATGAGATTTTTCAAAAACAAACATTGGCAATAATTAAGTCAATACATTAATGAGAATACAGGAAGTCTTAACCATCAGTTGAAAATTACCTCTGTAGCATATAATCAGGTACACATGATGTGGTTTCTCCAGATTTTGCAAAGAAAAGCTGCATTTAATTTTCTGAAGCTTTAATGGTACTAAGGAGTTTTGATGGGGAACATAAACTTTATTTCATTTGCATCTAAGAAAAGAGAAATGTGGCAACTGGTCAGATTCTAGAATCAATGTGTTGGATTTTGATCAACACTTGCTTCTAATTGTTACCTGCCTGCCTGTAATTATGACACCGGGTAAGGCAAGTGGAGAATTAGCATAGAGTCTAAAAATACTGTCTACCTTAGAAATCAACCTGAGAGAAATCTCAATGGAAAAAAATGAACTGAGCACACATTTAACAAGCTAAATCTACATCAAAGGCCATAAAGGAACTGCTTGGTAATAAAAATGTTGCTTTGATTGAAACTGGGCAAAAAGCCAAAGGTACTGGAAGGAAACTCTTAAACACACCGAATTGTTTCTGGATCAAACACTCCATATATCTAGGGTAAAATATGAAATTTTTCTAGGAAATTCTGAAGCTACATAAAAATGGATGTCTTTCTGAGCTCCAGAGTTGAGCAGTTGTTCATGAAGCTTCTTTCTTCGTGATTAAACAATATAGATACATATATTCACGTAAAGTGGATTTCTCAAATGTTGACCATGTATAAGGATTTCTCATCAGAAATTTTGATGAAAGTTACTGATTTGTTCTTTTATTTCTTTGATTATAAAGAAGTTATTTGACATATTTCACTGAGCTGTCTTTTAAAACAACTAGGCATTTTTCGGATGTAACAGTATCTGTATTTGGTAAAGCAACTTTATTTTTTTGAAAAAGTGAAACCAGTAAGCTACTGTGTTGTATTTCAGGCTAATGCATTCATTACCTTGGCAATGTTGGGGATTAACTGTTTAAGATTTATTTCCCCTATTATACTTTAAAATGCTGACTCAGGAACCACAATTGTTTGATTCAGAATTGACATATGATAGAGGATCTGTAAAATTTTATTGAATGAGCAAACATTGAGATGTATTGAGAAAATAATGGGAAGATACAGACTGTTTTGCTCAGAGAGACGATAGGATCTAATATGGATCCTGACAGTGAAAGAGACAAATAGTCTTTCCCAAGATCCACCTAAAGCCAAAGCAAATCTAGATAAGTCAACATGTTTTGCCATGACTAATATGTTCT